TCCTGCAGAAAAATCCTTTTTTTCACTAACCGAGTTCTCGATATGAGGACGTGGCTTTATTTAGATTTGACTTATGAAGGAGAAGATATTTATACTTCGAGAATACCAGGCCCCATTTGCTAACCAGTGGTAAAGACAAATTGTCAATATTTCAAAAGGGAAAACATCCCATATAGTTTCTATGCTGCAAATATGTTCAAACAGACCCGATTTATGTTATTTGAACGTAAGTTTGGCATTAAAGCCGTTGTTTCTTGTTGACGGCAATTCTGATTTTACCTGTGCTTATTTTTTGTCTTTATTTCCACTTTGATCGATTTTTAGATGGAATTATGGTTTTCTTGAGACCTCGATAGTGTCTTTTTGACTTGTTGATATTCGGGGAGGGGGAGGTGGAGGTGGGGCTTTATACTAGCGGGAAAAAGAAACTGGCATGCGGAGAATTGTTATAGAACATGTATTACCAACTGTATATACATGAAAACTCACACACATGACCGAGTATGACACATACACACTATCCATGTGTCATTGACAGTTTTTCCCGTGCAGTTTGCTCTCTATAGTCGTTGACAAGTTTGCACGTTTTTCTCGTCCAGCCATCCAATTCGACAATGACAGTTTGTTTTTCACCTATTGGGTCACTCTGTTGGGACCAGTGAACAGTAAAAACAGCATTATAACGTTTTGATTTGTGATTAATGCTATGCCGAGGCTCAATGAAAATGACCGCCTCTGGATTATTGGTATGCTTCAAGCTGGTATGGGACAAGCCGTTGTCTCTACACGTTTTCATGTCCATCGAAATACAATCCAGGATTTGTGGATACGACATCAACAGTTTGGCCACGTCGGCGATCGACCTCGTGCGGGACGTCCACGTGTGACGTCACGTCAACAGGACAACCATATTCGGCTTGTCCATTTGAGAAATCGCTTTCAAACGGCAAGTTTGAGTACACGGACAATCCATGGGTTGCTACACAATTAGATATACCAGGTATAATACCTACACAATTAGATATACCAGGTACTATACCTAAGTTAATAGATATACCAGGTATAACACCTACACAATTAGATATACCAGGTATAATACCAATAAGCCTGAGAACTGTACGGAACCGATTGCGGGAACGAGCTATCCGTCCGCGACGTCCTGCAATCCGCCCAGTTCTTCTGCAACGTCATCGTGTAGCACGTCTGGACTGGTGCAAGAGGCATCTGCGATTTACTCGACGGGATTGGGCAGGCATTTTATTTACGGACGAGTCGCGAGTTGTGACGGCCGTTCCAGAGTATATCATTGCGTTTGAGAACGTTTCCGTGACGCAAACGGGAGAACGCCTCTGGTGGTTGTTAACGGGAATTTGAACGCGCTGCGTTACCGTGACGAGATCCTCCGGATCCACTTTGTTGCATTCGTGCAAGGGCAGTAACGTCACATTACGCTACAGCAGGACAACGCCAGGCCACACACATATCGTGTCGCTATGGACTTTCTGGCCCAGCAGAACGTTGACGTGTTGCCCTGGCCTGCTGTACCCCCCGATCTGTCGCCCATTGAACACGTCTGGGATGACATGAAGCGCAGATTACTGGCATTACTTAATCAACCGGTGACGTTGGCTGATTTGCCTGCAGCGTTGGTACAGATCTGGAATGCCATCCCACAAGCATTCTTGAACCGTCTGATAGGCTCCATGCGTCGACGTTGTCAGGCTTGCATTCAGGCAAACGGTGGACATACGAGGTATTAACTTTGTGAACTCAGTATTGACCCCTGCTGTGTTTACGTCACTCCTGAGCGGAACTTATTGCTTCCATAACGTGGAAAATTGAATGCAATTGTGAATAGAAAACAAACTAAATTGTCCCTGAAAACCTTGTTGTTCTACGTCATACACATTTATTTTCATAACACATTTTAGGCATGCACTGTTTCTTTTTTCCGCTAGTAAAGATTCATTTTCGATTATATCCAAAAAATAGATAGGCAAGCCTTTGCGCGAATGAAGCAACAGGCGCAAATTGATTTATTTTTATAACGCTCTTAGCACGTCTAGTTTGTGCAACTACGTTTGCCCAAAACGGACAACGGCTGATATTTAGCAATATATTTTGTTTTAAATGAACAATTTTTATTCAGGTATCCCAACAAATTAATGTCTTTTGGAGTTGTATCAATACAAGTATTTCTTTCTATGGTCTACATTTATTTCTTCTGTGAGAAACAAGACGCATATGCGCCAGTCTTTAGCTCACCTGGTCCGAAGGACCATGGTGAGCTTATGCAATACCGCAGCGTCTGGCGTCCGTCCGTCGTCCGTCCGTCATTTTTTCCTTTTAAAACACTACTAGTCCTGGAGTAGATTTTGACTAAATTTGGTCTGGAGCATTCCTAGACCAAGATGACTCAATTTTGTACAAACGGTGGGTGTTGCACCCCTGGGGCAAAGGGCCAGGGCCAAATAAAAGAAATAAAGGTAAAACCTTTAAAATTCTTCTTCTACTGTAGGAATTAAGGGATTTTATCCTAATTTAGTCTGGAGCATCCTTGGGCCAAGGGGACTCAATTTTGTATGAACAGTGGGTGTGGCCCTCTTTGGGACAGAGGAGCGGGCCGAATAGGGGAAATTGATGTAAAACCTTTGAAATCCTTCTTCTACCATAGGGATGGATGGATTTCATCCCGATTTGGTCTTGAGCATCCTTGGGCAAAAGGGACTCAATTTTTTTATAAACAGTGAGTATGGTCCCCCTCGGGGCAGAGGGGCAGGGCATAATAGGGGAAATAGAGCAAATTCTTCAAAACCCATCTTCTTCTGTAGGAACGACAGGAGTTTGTCCTAATTTGGTATGAATCACCCTTTGGTGAAGGGGAACCAACATTGTATAAACGGTTGGCATGACCGCCCCTGGGGACAGAGAGGTGGGCCAAATAAGGTATATAAAGAAATAACTTTAATATCCTTTTTTCTTCCGTTGGGACGAAGGTATTTTGACCAAATTGAACAGTAGCATCCTATTTGGAAGGGAAATCAATTTTGTATAAATGGTGGGTCTGACCCNATACAGGCTCTCTAGGACTCTTGTTTATAACGTCAACAAATAACCAATGTCTAAGTTTGGAATACTTCTTTTGTATTTCGTAATGAGTCATGCATCGACATTCTAAGGCCACATTGGTATAAAAAAAAATATATGTACAATGTAGTCAAGCTTAAAGATTTGAAATGATTATTTTGTGAGATGTACTCCGTTTTGAGAATCCAATCCGACGTGGGTCACCCGTCCTTAGGTAATGTGTAGCCATGAACTACAACATTTGCATTTTGCATGGAATTGGTTGGTATTCGTGCGACCTATCCGACACAATACCACAGGATCGCGAAAATTAAAAAAGATTTGAAAAAGTTAATTTCACGAGAACTTTTTTAAATATTCCAACGTTAATAATGCATCTATGGGACGTGTTTGTGATGACATTATACATGCATGCTGCTTACAATAACTGTCAAAGAACATACAGACATTTCCGCCAATAGCACTCTGATACTGCATGTAGGTAAAGGGACAGGGGAAATTTCTCAATGAGTTTTGACAGCTGACTTTACTGGTTCAGCACAATGTGGCTTAGTGAGTTGTTTTCAGCGGTTTAGAGTCGAGAAACCGCGTCATTCACAGTCTTTCCTTGACATAAACAACAGACGTTTTCGAACGCTTGCAAAATGAATTTGCAATTCATATGTGTGTTCAAAACAAAACTTAGTCTTTATTTTCCGTTTATTTGTTGTGTTTAGGTGATACATACTATTTTGATCAGGCTTTCAAGCGATAACTTCAGTTTAGCATGTATGGATAACTTGCTAGTACTAAACTCCTGTCGGTTTTCTGGTTGGAATGATTAAACCTCTTTGCACACAGATTGTTCGGTATTAACCGTTTAACCAGAAACTAATCATGTTTTTTCCTTTAAAATCTACGGCGAACAATTGCTAATAAGTGAATGTGAGTGTCAACTGTACATCAAAATGTCGGTTTAGTTGTTGTCTCTATATAACCGTAGACGCTAATGTCTAGTACATGTATAACCAAATACATGTCCATTGTTTGTCTTTCTATAACCATGTATGTATATTTCTTCCATCTCTCAGTATGAAAAATACACGTGATCTGTACTTTCGTGACGTCACAATTAAATGACGTTTTTTTATTATGATTTCACGATATGAAACGCATCAAAATTTCGTTTGAATAACTTTGGCAAACCTGCCGTCTGGAGGTGACGCTACATCAAACGTTTAAGGTTGTATTTATCAAGCTTGTCCAAAACATGTTGCATGGATCTTTAAATTTGATGGTGAGCTATGGTAAACCATCTTTTGTTCGCTCTTTCCAAACATATGACATTATATGTTTATACATTATTGCTATGTTTAGTGTTTCATTTGCATGTCTTAGCCCTGTTTTCTGAAATTTTGGTTTTAAACAACTTTCAGTTGAAATGAGTTTGAGGAAAAAGAGTAAACCGTTAAGTAGTAGTGTGGGATGTGGCTTTTCAATCCGAGAGTGCAGAATGTGGTGTAAATAATCCTGTGCTCTCGGGAATAATATCAATATCCCACATACTTCAAATGATATATTCTATTTTAAAGTATTTGCTTTGTATGACACTCTTTAATTCTAAATGATTTTGTAGGCGTGTCGTTAAACTTCAATAACCTTTTCAACGAGAAACAAGAGGAAAATATGGTTCGTAATCATATTTTTTATAAAAACAAATCAAAAACATAGTATTTCAATCATTGTTCTAAACTTGTGAATGAAACTTGACACAAATCTAGTAAAACGTCAATATCTGTTACGATGATTTCCTTACACAGATCACGATCCTTTCTACAACTCTAACGCGGTTTTCGTCGACTGATCATCGGCACCCTGTATTCTCAAAATAAATGCTGCACTGATATCATATAGAAGGAATCCTGAAGAGATAGTCGTCTAAAAATAGATTTATTTGATAACATTTTATTTTCAAATCATTTGTGAATTTGTGGACAAGAGTATCTCCTGTAATCATTTGTCATAGCTAAGATAAATTATCGGATCAAGGTGATGCTTCCACGTTGTCTTTTTTGTCTTGTGAGTCCGTATCAACTGAACGTTTGTATTGGTGCAGATACGCGCCACCTAACGGATCAAGAGCTCTTTTGTAACCATGGAGATACGCACCACCCAATGGATCCAAAGCGCGTTTATAATTATGAAGCCAAGCACCTCCAAGAGGGTCCAAAGCACGCTTGAATCCATGCAAATAAGCACCTCCAAGACGATCAAGAGATCGTTTCTCCTCATTTTCATCATCGTCCATAGAACGTTTGAATCCATGTAAATATGCACCACCAAGACGATCAAGTGAACGTTTTAGATCAGCATCATCGTCCATTGCACGCTTAAATCCATGTAAGTATGCACCACCGAGTCGGTCTAATGAACGTTTTGAATCAACGTCATCATCATCAACCATAGCGCGCTTGAATGCATGTAAATAAGCACCACCAAGTCGGTCAAGTGAGCGTTTTGAATCAACCTCTCCGTCATCCATGGAGCGCTTGAATCCGTGCAAGTATGCACCTCCAAGTCGATCAAGTGAACGTTTTGTATCAACTTCACCGTTATCCATTGAACGCTTAAACCCGTGTAAGTATGCACCACCGAGCCGGTCCAGTGAACGTTTTGAATCAACCTCACCGTTATCCATTGCACGCTTAAACCCGTGTAAGTATGCACCACCGAGCCGGTCCAGTGAACGTTTTGAATCAACGTCATCATTATCCATTGCACGCTTAAATCCGTGTAAGTATGCACCACCGAGTCGGTCCAGTGAACGTTTTGAATCAACGTCATCATTATCCATTGCACGCTTAAATCCGTGTAAGTATGCACCACCGAGTCGGTCCAGTGAACGTTTTGAATCAACGTCATCATTATCCATTGCACGCTTAAATCCGTGTAAGTATGCACCACCGAGTCGGTCCAGTGAACGTTTTGAATCAACGTCATCATTATCCATTGCACGCTTAAATCCGTGTAAGTATGCACCACCGAGCCGGTCCAGTGAACGTTTTGAATCAACGTCATCATTATCCATTGCACGCTTAAATCCGTGTAAGTATGCACCACCGAGTCGGTCCAGTGAACGTTTTGAATCAACGTCATCATTATCCATTGCACGCTTAAATCCGTGTAAGTATGCACCACCGAGTCGGTCCAGTGAACGTTTTGAATCAACGTCATCATTATCCATTGCACGCTTAAATCCGTGTAAGTATGCACCACCGAGCCGGTCCAGTGAACGTTTTGAATTGTCGTCATCATTATCCATGGCTCGCTTGAATCCGTGTAAGTATGCACCGCCGAGTCGGTCGAGTCCGCGTTTTTTGTAACCATGGATCCACATGCCTCCCAGCGGGTCTAGTGACCTTTTGTACCCATGGAGATAAACCCCTCCAAGAGGATCTAACGCGCGCTTATATCCGTGAATAAATGCCCCGCCTAATCTATCCAGTGAACGTTTAGTAGGAGTTTCATTACCCTCTTTAATCGCCTGTAGGAATCCTCTCAAAGCATTGAACTTGTCAGCCGATGGTCCAAAAGATACCTCCTCGTCAGGAATCACATTGTCTTCAGTGCTGTCTCCTTCTGATGGCAAAGCGTCCTCCTCCACGACAGACAGGAGATCGTATGCATCGTCTGCATCTCGCGTGCCTTTGTGGACGTAGGTGCCCCCTAACCTGTCCAGGGGGTCGTTATTATGACCAGAGGAAACTTCAGTGTCGGCAGGGGAAGGCGTCCAGCCACGAAGCTCGTTCATAATTTGTTCATGGATTTCCTGAAAATATACAAAAGAAGTACACTGTTAGAAACTGAAACAAACAAATCGTTGTACTGAACACGTTGTCGGAAATGAAGCGACAAACATTTGCAAATAGTGGTCGTGGGGTGCAGTACATTTGTAGGTAGATCACTCGTTAGAAGAAGACAACCAGAGTTTGATTCCCGAAAATCGTGAAAAGGTAAGGTTTTCTGCCCGAACACCTGACTTGTCTCTAGATATCCGCTATCAAATAAATATAGATAAGCTCAAAACAAAGACTTGCTTTTTACTTGTTGTTAAATAAATAAAGTATATATTTATGAACATATGTATAACAGCTAGACAACTTCGAATGTGCACGTGACACTAGTACTGAAGCAACGCTTCCTAAAGCATGTTTCCTAGGTGATCGTGAATTAATAGCGTACCATGTTTGTGCTTAGACGTTTTATGCGTGCATCGAATTTTAACAGTCGACTGATCAAACTATCCATGTGGAGTAATCAACTGATAGTCTTAGTCTATGGTCAGTAGAAAGGCCAGTGACTTAGAATATACACATATTTCTCATAACAAACCACGCATTCCAGTTCAACGTTGAAAGCATATCTTTTAACCAAGCAAATGCAAATTAGACAAAAAATGTGTTGATGCACGTTAGTTGAAAATCAATCCTGGATCCATCATCCAAGCTCCTGATTTTTATCTACGGACGTTGTATAAACGTTTTTTAAAATGATACTAATTCTAACAATTTGTATTTCAAATATCCATTCGTTCTATGAAGGTAGACATGTCATGAAATGACCCAATAATTTACAAAATAATAAAAACTCTGTCTGATCCCGTTAGCTACAGAAAGCTTCAACGTACTTAAGGTGATTGGATTGATAAATCTGAAGAGTCTATGAAAGGAGTAATAACTTCATATCGTAAACGGCGAGATGTTTAAAGATACGTTAAATGGTATTCGTATCTTCTTCAGCGCATCAGATAAAGGATTCCTTGCTCATCGTTACCACAAGTATATAATTGTATCTAACTGTGTCATCTCAAGGGTGCCTGCACCGCGTCACAAGTCCTACGTCATCGTGACGTAAATGTGTTAATAGCTTCCATGTCCGACATAAGGTTAGCTCATCAAACACGAGAGAAAAATATGATCCTTTTTAGAAGGAACACACTGCTGATATGTCGATATAAGATGGTTGTGGTTTGCCTGCGACATTTCTCACTCACACTATACAGGTACATGTGTATATGTAAATGTGCATATATTACCATTATCTACTATTACCTACTAATTGTAATCTGGCAGATGGATGCACACCGGTGTATTGCAATCTTGAATACAATAAAAATTAATTATATTTCGGTGACATGACAATATCACATTACAGCAATAGTATCTACAAAATGTAAAATATATTTAATGAATAGGATCATAAAATTTTCTGACATTAAGCCATATTTGGCTATGTATATGTTATGTTTATTTATATATTAAACACAATCAAATTCACATATAACTAAAACGCTATCGCCTAAGGTACATATGATAAATACGTGCAGATATTCCAAGATGCTAGGGGGGGTGGGGTGGGGGGTATCATAAAAAAGATAAGCATATCATAAGATAATGATTTTGAAAAAGGTCTAGAGTTGCGTTGAACAGTTCAATTTTTATATCTAACTAAAATCAAAGCTATTTCGATCAATATTTTCAGATTATTACAAATAAACTTCGTTAATGTTGAAATCGGTTGATATCATCTAACATACCTAATATCGTTACTAGTGATATTATCAACATTATTAAAACGTAACCCCCTCCCCAGACGATCTCTCTAGATCCCTTGAGTCTCTTTCACGTACTCTGGTTCCTTTATTCTTCATTGTCTCAAATTGACTATATTTTGTCGTGTTATGAGAGCTTTATAATTATACAACGAGCAATGGCCCGCATATACCGTAGCCGTATGCGATAAAACAGATTAATTATGACAAATACTATGAAGTCGTCGACCAGAACACATTTTCTCGATAAACCCGGCCAGCCAAAGCATATTAATAATCATCGTGTAAAATTGAAACGAACGAATCTCATTTCGCCGACAATAATAGTCCCTGAGTGAGCCGGCCGCGGATGAATATCCGGTGTAATGGTTTCACGGTCCTGTAAAATTACACATATATAAACACCTTACCATCTAACTCAAATCTAGCACGCAACTCCATAACATGGAAGTCGAGCCAGGATCTATCCGTCAAACTTGATTTCATTGGAAACATCACACTTATTGCATTGTCATTTATATAATTACTGACGCCCCGAAACATCGTCACACAGGAAACGACACCGACCAACAAATCTGACAAGGACGACTTTATCACATGGTTGACTGGTCAGATATAATTGATGTCAAAATGGGTGACTTGTCAGATTATTGATGTTCGCTAGGTAACTGGTCAAACACATTATTTTTTACTTATATTTTGTATTGCCGTACAAGGACCAGTAGGGAATATGTATAGGTTACTTTAATTTGTCTAAACCTTCTCCATCCATCCAGGCCATCCATATTTATCCTCATCCATCCACCAATCTCTCCTGAAATCATCCTTCCTTCCATCCATCAATCCGTTCTCATCCATCTGTCCATCAAAGGATCAAATTCTTCTTCTGGACTCATCAACAAGATAGTGCACACTGCGCCTTCGATTTTGCTATAGCATAGGGGTACATTAAGCGAATGTGAGCGTAACACCTGTGTTACGTTGTTCACGTAATTATGACTTAGACTCGAAATCCCATGAACTTAGGTTAGCCATCCTTTATTATACTGTTTTGACATGGTGCTTCACACGAATTTTTACATAGATCATCAAATGAACCAACCTGTCAATTGTGCTTCAAACGAACCTACGTAACAACCTTTAGTATCGATAGTAGGTTAGTGGCGGTGGTTGTTCAGTAAATGACTATTGACCACATGTAAAAGCACGAACATGATTTGTGGTAGGTTGATACACAACTGCCTGAAAAAAAACCCTACAAAGAAACTTTTATAATTTGATTTATAGTATGGGAAAATACACTTTCAATCGATATAACTCTTTAACATCTAACGAAAGTAAGTAATAGTTATAAAGAACGTTGTTACATTGTATGTATCTGCGGAACCGCTATGCTACATGTACTTTGTATGACATCAGATCTCGTAAACTGAACCCGCACTTGTACATAGATGTAACACATTAAAAGCTGTCGTTAACGAAGTTATCTCGTAGAATGTCCTGCAGGTATTTCTGGACACCCTATTAAATTGCACAACATTTTATCTTCTGGAGACATTGTCATAATTTGATATTCTCTAATAAATTAAGGGAATACTTCTCCCTCGACACTCCTTCCTATTTTCAATTATATTATAAAATTCTGTATACCTGAATAGCCCATCATAGCAGATCAGGGACTATAAAAACGATACACATACTATGTAGTAAACACTGCATAGTGTAAGAGGCAACCAATGTGGGATTCACCTGCTTCATTGGACATTTGTCTTGTGCCCTTCACTTTCGGACGCCAGAGAAACCAAAATAAACTGCTACAGACATTGCATCATTTGAAATCATATTCTCTCTGTACTTCCCGACAGCCGTTTTGTTTTGCAGCGCCTTGCTTTACAATACCCTACATTTGCTCTCCGTGTTATGGCAATAGGTTACATGTATGTCTCATGACCGAAACATACATGTACTTAAGTACATAGCTCGTTGTAAGTATAATGTGATTGTGCGGAGTAAAGAGCTTGTTGCTTTCAAAATACACTGGGGTAACTATCAGATCTGTACCATTGCAAGTGTAGCAGGAAAGAGAATAGTGTGTTTCCACCGGGGATCGAACCCTCGATCTCCAGGTTCGTAGTGGGACGCGCTACCACTGAGTTAAGGGGAAATTCCCTCTAGCTCGAATCTAGAAGTCGACCCCAATCCTACGTAAAATTTAAACCTGCCACACTACTCCCCTCTTTTTTAAATGTGTTCCCCATCGAACACCACAACCCAGGTTCTAACTCCCTGTCACCACAGGGAGGGCCACGGACACCATTTGTAACAGGAAAGAGAAAAGTGTGCTTCCACCGGGGATCGAACACTCGATCTCCAGGTTCCTAGTCGGGCGCTCTACCACTGAGCTAATGGGAAATTCCCTCTAGTTTGAAGCTAGAATGCGATCTTAATCATATGTACAATTAAAACCTGCCACACTAGAAAGAAAATACAACAACATACCACCATCAACACACACACACACATACATTACACACAAGGACAAATCTACTTCAATTATCATAGTTGTTGATAGGACGTTAGACTCAATAAAGCCAAGCCGAAACCTGAATAGCTATTTTGCATTGCTTTTTTTTTAAATCCGTTTGTTGCTATTATAGATGACGCTTGCTCCCTGATAAAGTTTTGTGTGCAGACTTTTCGATGGATATACTCTACCGAAAAGAAAGAATAGGTAAAAACCGAAAGAACGAACAAATTACCAAGTGTTGCGATTGGGGCAGCAATCAATTTTAGTCTCTTTGATATTTCTTAAGCAAACCTAGAAAAAACAAAGCCAAAATTCTGCAGGGGGCATATAAGTCGCCTCTTACGATAACAGGTAGTCGGAAACAGCTACTCTCCTATAGTGTCCACGAGCCTGCAGGGACAGACCTTCACTATTGCGGGGACGTTAGCCTCCATACAATCAGCGCGAAAACAAATCATGACATGCTTTGTATTGACACAAAATTGATAGAGAAGACAATGCCATTTATAGAGTATCCGAGTATCCGGTCGCTGTTGTCATGTAAATGTTTCCTACATGGTACAGACAATTCAATCGAGAAATAATGAAAGAGATTCGCTTCTTAAAAGGTTTTATAAAAAAAACATCAAAGACAGATAGGGAATAATACAGAACTTATATCCGTTTCATCAGTCCAATTTAACCATAAGGC